AAATAAAATTCTATATTCAAGTGTGTTTAAACTGAAATTTAAAAGCATTTTGTTACTTTTTAAACTTTGATCACAGTTCAGTGCCTTGCAGTTTCGCTTTCTTCCGTCTGTACATTATTCAACGGAATATTTGAAAAAGGTTTTAGAGCACTCTGGCGACAACTGGTGCTACGGAATATGATTAAACTGAGCATGAATCATCTTGAAGNCATTATTCAACGGAATATTTGAAAAAGGTTTTAGAGCACTCTGGCGACAACTGGTGCTACGGAATATGATTAAACTGAGCATGAATCATCTTGAAGATCACAAGGTGGCGTAGTAGGTTTCCAGCGCAAAGGTGCTGTCAGGCGGACGGCATTTCGCTGCAGTGTTGTGTATCGCTGCAGTGCCATGTCGTTTGACAGGTCTTCATCCCTTCGCTCCTCTAACACTTGTCTTGGCTTTTCCCTCTTTCTGTCCGCCACCAAGTCAGCTGAGTGCTGCTGAGGGTGTTGGGGAGAGCTGCGAGGGAGATCGAGAACAGAAGAGAAAGAGAGAGAGACGACAACAACGACTGAAGTGAAGTTGAAGGCAGCGTTTATTTTGTTTTGTTTTTGCCTTTTGATTTAATTTTTCTCCTTTCAATCACCACCGAAGTGATCACCTGATCATCGGTTACTCAACCCTCTTTCTTCCATTCAACAAACGGCGCCAAATTGTATTTGCTGATAAAGTCTACTGGCGGCAGTTTTCGGTGGTAGTGTCTTTGTGTTTGTGTTTGTGATATCACTGATTTGTCATCACCAGTGTTGTTTGATTTTGCTGTACTGCAATTGGACACTGCAGATAGGTGAGCTATCTCTTTTGCTCTCTCACTGTGTTCATGTATCACTTATCGTCACTATCAATGTTTTGCTTGTTTTCACTGCCTGACTGTTTTGGTAAACAGGCACACATTGGGTGAGGTTTGCAAAGGTGCGTTTGTGTGAAAAGGATAGAATTCTAGTTGAAAGCTTGTAATTTTGGTGTTTCTTTTCAATCGATAATTTTTTAAATCAGAACAAGTTAATAATTTGCATTTGAAAACAAAATTGATTGTGTGTGCTTATTACATTTCCCTTGGATTTCAGGAAGCAGTCAACTTCAGTGCAATAACATCGTGCAATTGCTGGTAATTTATGAATTGTCAATTTTACGCTAAAAATAATCTAACTTGTTTATGTTTATTTTTATCCGCCAGAACATTCAACATCCTTCCAGTCGTCTTTCTTTCGTTCTTTGATTATCATTCTTCTCTTCTCAGCTCCACAGCACTGATTAGCTCTGGAAAATTATCATCATCATCGCCATCATCATACTCATTCAGCTGCTCTTCCCTTCCGCTCAGCAATCCAATATCCGCCTTTTCTGTGGTTCAGCAATAATGGCCCTGTCTGCCTCTACCGCTACCCGAATGTCTCTTCCAATGGACTGATCCCTCCGTGCTACACTGTTCCAATTGAGCCAACCCCGGCACACACTCACTCACTCTCTCTCCCTACTCTCCTTTTTATTTTCAGCGCCCATTCGGCACATGCTACAGTCACTCAATTCACAGTCGGCTCTGTCTGTCTCTACTTTCTCTCGGTTGTTGATACTCAGTCTCCTTTGCTAGACTGCAAAATTAAATCCGCCAGCACATTACGGCAGATTTCTGCTCAAAATCTTCACCATCGACCCTTTTTATGGTCATCACGCATCTGCTTTCTTCTTGTTGCTACACACCGCAACTCACCTACGCTTTTTCACGAAACGCTCACGTGAAAATCTCTCAAATGAAATGTGCTCTTCAAACTTGCCGTTTACTTGCAACTTTGCATCTCACTCTGGTCACACGACAACTTTAACCTTCGTTTTCTCCTGTAAACTTGCTTTTAAAGCTCTGGCAACAACTTTAACGTCTACTATTTAAATTAAGTGAGTAGCTTTTAAAGCTTAAAATTATATTTAATTTAATTATATTTTGGCTGTTATGTCAGATCATTTACCTGTGCAAATGTGTGACGCAATTGGCACTATTTGTTTCTGTTGAGGTGCAGCAGACTGCTTTATCGGTTGCCTCGGTGACATTTTCTAATGAGTTCAAACTGACTCTTTATTAAGGTTATTACCTGTAATAGTTTGTCAGAATAAACAGTACTGGACGCTGTTTACTTTTGCCGGCCATTGGGACAACTTTAATTATATTTACAACAGCCCTTTTTGTAGACAAAAGTTGTTGTACACTATTTTTCCGTTAGTACTTTAATGCTTCTCTAAAAAGTTTTTTAAAACATTTTTAAAAACTATTACTATAGTTCAAAATTAATCCCGGTACACCTGTTCACCTAATCGATGTTGACATTCAAAGCGGCCACATTTACATCGGTTTTCCCACATTTTATCTGTCAGCTACTTTTTCCGCTATGGTTTGCCCAAAAGTTGGTCAATGTGTGACCAGTAAATTGACTGTGTTGAGTCGGTGTGTTTGTGCAGGTAATTGAATATTTTATGGTTCACAACGGTGAATTATTTAGTAACTCTACTGCAGAGGCAGGGAAAGAAAGAACAAGGCATGTAGGCGATGGGAAAATATATGCGCCATTTAAAGGGCAGTGAAGGGGGAAAAGATATGTCTCTTGCACTGACCAGCAGCAGGGCACACCTGCACGCATGCACAAAACATGATAACTCGGCTAGGTTTTTACTGCCCTAAAGCTCAAAATGTGCGGGTTTTTCCAAAGAATTGCTGATGTTGAATTTTTTTATATGGAAATTAGCCGTAGCTTGTAGACGACGAATGGGATGTTTTGCATGAATGCTTAATGAGGTAACAAGAGAGAAAGAAGGAGAATATTGAGATGTGCTCGTTTGTTTTTTTTGTTTTCCAGTGAACTATGCTTCACAAAAGATGAAATGTTTGATGATGTGGGTTGATTCTGATGCTGCGCCGCCGCCGCCACTATTTTTAGACATGCTAGTGGGCGAACTGAACTTGAATTGAACTAGAACCAAAGCTCTAACCTGGTCTACTTCATTTTTTTGCAGATCACTTTTTCACTCTTCTATGACTTGATTGTCAGCGCTTCTGGAAGTACTTCTGCGTCATACCCGGTAGTCGTTTTTCCTTTCGTCAATTAGCCCAGCCATCACCGGCAAAACCCAATGTTNATGAAATGTTTGATGATGTGGGTTGATTCTGATGCTGCGCCGCCGCCGCCACTATTTTTAGACATGCTAGTGGGCGAACTGAACTTGAATTGAACTAGAACCAAAGCTCTAACCTGGTCTACTCCATTTTTTTGCAGATCACTTTTTCACTCTTCTATGACTTGATTGTCAGCGCTTCTGGAAGTACTTCTGCGTCATACCGGTAGTCGTTTTTCCTTTTGTCAATTAGCCCAGCCATCACTGGCAAAACCCAATGTCCACCTCCTCCTGCTCGATGTGGTGCAGCGGTCTGCGGTGATATGTACCTGGAGTCGAGCGAGTCGTCGACAGTAGTAGGCGGTGGCGCGGTGGCTGCTCAGGTGATCGTCAACAGCTCTGGTCGAGGCAGCAGCAGCGGCTCGGTGGGCTCCTCCTCTGCGCTGTACCACTACCAGCCGGTGCATCCGCACTTTGCCAACCACTACGCCGCCTACCACAACTACTCGCCCATGAGCGCAGAGGCGGTGGGCACCGTCAACGGAAAGAGCATGATGGAGCAGGGGACAGCGACTGCAGCTTACGGCGGCGCCTACCAAAGGAACACAGGCCATCTGACCAAATCAGCGTCCAGTGTGGCGGGATTCGGCCGTGAGTTACCTGCTCTTTTTGTTTTCTAACCTGAATGCATTTTAACTAAATCTAACTGTACTGTCTCTCTTCATCTAGTGCCACCGGCGACAATCGTCAGTCAGTCTTCTCCCTCGGCACATAATCTTCACAGCGAGCAGCAACAGCAGAATCATTTACATTCTCATCTGCATTTAAGTCACAACCACCCGGTTCCAGTTCACAACCACCCGATAGTTCCTGATAATTACAGTCATCCCCATCACGGCAAAATCTCTAAACTTCAAAAGTTAAAAAAGCGACTAAGCACACATTTTGAATGCTTTTGTAAGTTTTTATTTTATAATTTGACTTGCAACTGGTTCATTTTTCGTTTCTCTCGCAAATAGCTCTCTCTCCAACGGAGCCCTCACTGTCTGATCTTACAGTAGACGAAGGTCACGTAGAAATGACCAAGTTCACGCCTCTCAAGGACGATCACCTGCTGTCAAACGGCGGCATCCCCAAGACGATCACTGTGGACAATCTCGCCTACCTTCGAGACCACCTTGATGAGCTGGACGACGATGAGATCGTTGAGGTGTCCATTCCCGTGGTGGACACTCCTGCGAATCACCAGTCATCGTTTGACCATCCCGTTTCGGTGCCCGTGTCTGACGTGCCGAAGCCACCGCCCCGATCGACCTCCATTTACCACTTGCAAAGACTGCAGCAGCAGGCGATGCTTGCCCAGCTGGAGGCACAGGGGCTGGCTGCCTCGGGAATCGGCCCTCCCGGACCTGGTCCCGGCTACCCGAATGTGGTAATGCGCGAGAAGAAAGGCGGCAATTCAGCATTCAGCAGTTCAGCGCCACGACCGCAGTCAGACATTTACGGGGTGCGAAACGCCCTGAACAGTCATGTCATCACGGGCAGCTCCAAAGGTGGTGGTGGAGCGGTGAACGGTGGTGCGGCTGCCCTGAGCCAGCGGCCAATGTCAATGTACGTCGATGGGAGCGCCATTGAGGCGGCTGGGCGGCCAGTTAGGCATGCCATTTCAAGGTTCTCTGCATATGAAATTTCGGTGAGTTGGTTGATTTTGTAAGCGATTTTTGGTAAAATTCTAAATATGAATATCTTTTGTTTGCAGAGCTCCCATGGATTTGGGCGCATGGACTCGTATATGAAGCTGGACCAGCTGGGCGAAGGCTCCTACGCCACGGTCTACAAGGGCTACAGTAATTTGCTCAACAGGGTAGTGGCGCTGAAGGAGATTAGATTACAGCCTGAAGAGGGGGCACCCTTTACTGCAATCAGAGAAGGTATGCAGTGCAGTGCTATGCTGCCTAGTAGTAAATTATTACTATGCTAACCATGCTGTTTTCCCCTTTTATCTAAATCGTCTACAGCCTCTCTCCTACGTGGTCTGAAGCACGCCAACATTGTCACACTGCACGATATCATCCATACTCGACAGACGTTGATCTTTGTGTTTGAATTCATGAACACCGATTTTGCTCAGTACCTCGAGCGTCACCCCGGCGGTTTGAACCCAAAGAATATTCGTCTCTTTATGTTTCAGCTACTTCGCGGCCTTGGCTACTGCCACGAAAGGCGCATACTACATCGAGATCTCAAGCCACAGAACCTTCTCATCAACGAACAGGGCGAGCTGAAGTTGGCTGACTTTGGATTGGCCCGTGCCAAATCGATACCCTCAAACACGTACACTAATGAGGTGGCCAGCTTATGGTACCGTCCTCCAGACATAATGCTCGGCTCACGGAGCTACTCCACCTCGCTGGACATGTGGTCAGTGGGCTGTATCTTTGTGGAGATGGTCGCCGGTGCGCCGGCCTTTCCCGGCGTCAAGGACACCACTGATCAGCTGGATAAGATATTTCGTGTTTTTGGCACACCACCGTCTAGCTATTTGGAGCAGTACCAGAGTATTGAGTCCTTCAACTGTAAGTGTGACTGCTTAAGCAATGGTTGCTTTTTAACAACAAAATATACTTTAATTGATTCGGTAGTTCGAAACATTTCGTACGCCTCTCAGAAGCTGGTGCAGGCGTTTCCAAAGCTGGCGACGATACTACAAGCGGAAAATCTGGCAATTGCATTCCTCAATTTAGAGCCATGTAAAAGGATCTCCGCACAAGAGGCACTGAAGCATGCTTTCTTTGCTGAACTGCCGCCAAAACTATACCAGCTTCCAGATCGTAATTTTTGTTGACCAAACTTTTGTAAATGTTGTTTTAATTTTTGTTTGTACTTTTTTTGCAGACATACCCATCACAAATGTCTCTGGTTGTGCTTTGGTTAGTGAGACGAATAACTTTCCATTGTCAGTAATGAAGATTGCCGCTAAAATGAAAAAGTCAAAACCACCCCCACCACTCCCACATCCTTAAGTATTTCTTTAGTTCCTCTACACTTGAAAAATCTCATTCATCGTTTGTGAGAGTCATCTGAACCTGACAGAAATCAACACTGTGCATTTCTCACCAGTATAGTCACTACCCTCAGCTGCAATTTCTTTTATATCAATACATTTCTTATATATTTTACTGTTTTATACTTTTTCCTAATATTNAAGTATTTCTTTAGTTCCTCTACACTTGAAAAATCTCATTCATCGTTTGTAAGAATCATCTGAGCCTGACAGAAATCAACACTGTGCATTTTCCACCAGTATAGTCACTACCCTCAGCTGCAATTTCTTTTATATCAATACATTTCTTATATATTTTACTGTTTTATACTTTTTCCTAATATTTATATACTGCTAACAACTTAACTCCCTGGCTGGCAAATGTGCGATATTTTATTCAAAACATTTATCTAGTTCAAAAGTATTAAAATATTTTTTTATTTGTAAAAATACTTCTCATTCAAATCATTGCAAATGCATCTGAAATGTGCATGAAAGTTCAGCCGATAGTCTATTAGATGGCAGCAAAACTTCGAATAGAAGTTTCTAAAGTCAAAGTGTACGATTCAGATTGCCCGAGGCGCAGAGTTAGAGTGTCTTTCAATTAAAGCCGATCCGTCTGCGAAGGAGAAGCACCGATAAGAAGAAGTCGCCGCCGGTGAGAGGAATGAGAAAGAGGAAAGAGGGGAAAGAGTGCCGTGCCGACCGGTGAAGGAGCGATGTCGATAAGCGAGCAGCGGAAAGCAGTGGCCGGCAATCGACTGCGCTCCAATAACCGGTTGGACGATATTTATTTTTGGCACAGACACTCGGCGCTGCCGCTCAAAAGGCACTTTGCCCGTCATCCTCATACCTCATCGGGTATACCCGACTGCCAAAAGTGTCCTTATTCTGACGGGCAGCAGACACAGCTCACAGAGAGTGTCTCTCTCAGACTGACTGGCTGGCTGGTAGAAAGTTTCGCGAGAGAGTTGCGCACAAT